CTTGGACAGGGCCCTAGAATCTTCAATTTTAAATACATATTCCAGGTGATTCTGTTATAAGGAAGTTTGAGGACTACAATTTAAACAATAGCATTTGAGGCAACAAAGGAATTTCTCAGAAGAGGATCTATATAACATTTTAGATTTCAGATATCTTCAGTGTAGAGTGAAAAGTAAACTAGAGAGTTACAGAAATGTAGCACTATGAAATCTTTAGTCTGGGAAGAAAGATCGTTTGAGTTCAATGCCTTCATTTCACAGATGAGAAAATATAGGCTCTGAGAAGGGCCCAAGGCTTATGTAACAAGCCTGTGGTGGAATCAGGGCTAGAAATAAAGTCATAAATCCCTATTCTGGCCTCCCGTGCCCCCACACCATCAATTTTTTTTTAATGAAATAAAATTAAAATGATAAGTTACAAGAGTTCTTGTCATTTTAAACACTTTTTTTTTTCTGGAGAGGTTTTTGCTATAGGGCACGTGTGCTCGCTAGGAAGACAGAGAGAGACAGAGAGACAGAAAGCGAGAAATCACCCCCCAGGAGGGATGGCCATGCCGCAATCCCTTCTCCTCCATTCTCTTCTCGGAATCTTGGGCACGAACGCATGCACACGCACCTGGCGTGAGTTTAATGGGAGTCCAGCAACATAGCCATTACACTAACTGCTGGTTCCCATTTTAAACACTTTTTTAGGGATCTAAAGTTTTGAATTGTCTCTCAAAATACAACTCCAGTCTATTCAAACATCTTGGTCAGGTAACAAAGGAATTGACTTCCACAAAAGTGGGTAAGAACACAAAAAAACAAAGTTGGTTGAGAACAAGGTTTTCTTTGAGAAGAAATTCTAAATATGATTTTATGTATTAAATACCTATAATTAGACTTCCCTATATTAACTATCACTCCAATCTCTTTTTGGGTTTTCTACACAAAAATCTCTTTTTCACCTGAGTAGCAAAGTCAGACTGTGTATTGATGCATGCGTGATGACCAAGACAATTACGTACCATAAGGTTTACACCTGTTACTAAGTATTAAGAGCAAGGTATTAAGTATCTGTAATATGATCATGGAAAAACAATCTTGACAGATTCTTCAACATTTTTGTCCATCTCTCCTGCACTGTTATAGATTAAAAGTTTATTTCAAAGTTGAGCTGCTAGCAATTCTGCAAGAAATTTATAGATTTTAAACATGGCCAGTTATTTTCATGTACAACAAATATAAACATGAGTAACACATAAAATTCTATAAAAATTCTATTACCCTGATGACTTGGAATTTCTATTATCCCAGATCTTCTTTCTTGCTCTCTCTCTCTCTCTCTCTCTCTCTCTCCCTCTCTCTTTTTAAGATTTTGGGTATAGGGCACATGAGCTCACTGGAGAGATGGAGAGAGATAGAGAGACAAAAAGTGAGAAATCACTCCCCTGGGGGGATGGCAGTGATGCGATCCCTTATCCTCCATTTTCCTCTCTGGATTTTGGGCACACACTCATATGCACCTGGCATGAGTTTGAAGACACTGGGTCAGGGACTCAAACCACAGTTGACTATGTGGGAGCCCAGTGCCTTCAACACTATGCCATCTTCTGGCCCCAGATCTTCTCTTTTTAAAAGTATTTATCAGAAGATAAATAGCACATTTTGAAATTGAAATCTGACATTCTTGAACAAAGAAGTAAGTTCTTCTACAGAAATTACACAGTAAATGTATGAGTGTAGAAAAACACACTGATGTTGGAACCAGATGAGAGAGGCTGGTGTGGCTGTTCTGAACAAGCACTAACCTCAGTTTGCTCCTGGGCGACACAGGCACAGTCTTCCAACCTATCTGACAGATTGTCATGAGGCTCCTATGGGCTTATAGTTGTGAAGTAATTAAATAAATGAGAGAACGTTATTAATGTCAGTTACTCAGAGAAGTAACTGAGATGTTTATTTGTAGTAAAAATTAAATTAAGACTGTTATAATGTGGTATAAGGAGAGAATGGTCACAATATTTGCTTTTAAATATTACCTATTTTTGATAAAAGAGCAACACAGTCTTTTGCAAAGACAGCATTGCACAAAGCATTTCAGTAATGTTATTTCATTTGCTTCACCAGAGTCTCGGAATGGGCTCTTAGTGCTGGCTTGATCCAACCCCCAAATCTCCATTCTTGGCAGGAATTAAGGCAAGTAGAAAGAGGAGAGAGACGTGCTGCAGGGAGGGAAATACAACCAGAGATAATGACGGTTATATTAACTCTGATAGTTCATCAATTCCTGGTATCCACATCCAAATTTAAGATTGCCTCAAACAGGACCACCTACTGTAAGCTATTTGCCTTTGTAACTTGTGAAATCTAATTCACTAAAGGAGGCAAATCAACAACAGTGATTTGAGTGCCACTTAGTCACAATTGTAGTTCGGGGTTGGAAGGGGTCCAATTATAGGAAGCTTCTTAGCCAATTCTGAGACTCAGCCAGATTTGAGAACCAAAGATACAGAGCATCTAATCAATAGTCCTCAATCTCTGGTGTGCATTAGAATCAAGAAGGGAATTTTTAAAAAGTTACCTGGGCTACAGGTATTTTATTGAATTGGGCACCAGAATTTTTTTTAAAAAAGACTTCAGTGATCCTAATGTGTAGCCCAACATTAAAAAAAAAAAAAATTGATTTACTTTAATTCCTTCCAGTGAGAAAACTAAGCTCCTCTCTTCTTGAAACAAGTAAAAATTAAATCTCTGTAAATTAGGTACAAATATGAACACTCAATTCAACACAGATCTTTATGGAGCACCTATATTTATATGGCATAAATACCTAGCCAAATGGCTTCGGTAATTAATAATTTAAAAATTATATAATGCAGAATAAGAGCAATGCCACAGGGGAGGAAAAACAAGGTGTTCTGGCATTTCAGAGAGTTGAGAAATAATTTGAGATCTTAATAGTGGCAGATGATCCCTTAAAACCAGAGGATGTTGACTTCTGAGAACAAGGGAAATTTGAGCCTGTGGAACTTAAGACATGTAACTGCAATTCCACCTCCACACTTTGGAAGATACTCTGTGTATCAGACAATTATAAAGGGGCTGGCTCTGTGATGCAGTAGCAGTGCACTGCCCGGAGAAGCCTGATCCCATGTAGTTATGCAGTTCAAATCCCTGACCCAGGCAGCCTGAAACATACCTGACAAGTGCATGAGTGCCCTTGACCTGATGAGCTGGAGGATTAAAGGACAGGGATTGAGGTGTGACCAGACCCTGCGAAGGGTGCCCATTTCTCCTTCTACCTCACTCTCACCTGCATACACATGTGCTTTATCATGAATAAAGAGGAAAAAAATGAACTGTAAACTGCTCGTAATGGGCACCAGAATTACAAAAGTACCTTGAAAATAATAAATAAGGGTAACCTTTGATTTCTTCTAACTTGCATTTATTTAAATTACAGAATTGCACTCACTATTTTCAAAGTCCTGAAAAATTATTTGAGAATGACTAGTGATGGCTATGAAATAGGTGGTCTTTCTTGGGTTTCTTTTAAATACTGAACTTCCAAAATATATTCTAAAATTTCACTACTTTTTCCATTTGAGGGATACTCATCCACTTCAGGGCCTTGTCATTTATCATCTGAATCATTTCAAAGTCTCTTTTCTTCCTACTAATCTCTTACCTCAGTCCATTCTATAGATTATGAACTTAATCATTCTAAAACACTATGGTAAAATGTTTTAAAAATAAAATGAAGGGACCAGCAGTTAGCGTAATGGCTATGTCGCTGGACTCCCACGTAGTCGACCACGGTTTGAGTCCCAGACCCGGTGGCTTAAAACTCACGCCGGGCGCGTGTGCGTACGTGCCCAAAATCCCGAGAGGAGAATGGAGGAGAAGGGATTGCGGCGTGGCCATCCCCCCTGGGGGGTGATTTCCTGCTTTCTATCTCTCTGTCTCTCTCTGTCTGTCTGGCGAGCGCACGCGCCCTATAGCAAAAACCTCTCACAAAAAAAATAAATAAATAAATAATAAAATAAAATAAAATAAAACAGCATTGTTCTATAAAAAAACATTGCAGTCTCATTTATATTTTTATCCTTCTCAAAGTTTAATTATTTAGTATTAAAGTAATATGTGTAAATAATTTCAGACTCAAAAAAACTAAAAGACTTACAGTTCTCTCCTGAATATTCTGTTTTCATTCTTAATTTCTTCTCCCCAGAAGACATCGCTTTCAGCTCTTTCAGTTCGCTGTTTCTGTGGGTATTATTTGAAATGATATGCATGCATTACTATTTCTGTATTTCTGTTTTGCTACCTACTGGACATTACCTATGCCCTTTCCTTCCTGTGGTAACTGTTGTAGAGACTGGGGATATAGTGGTGGGCCAGACAAAGACTCCATACTTGCAAACTTACAATCTGGTGTGAAATAGTAAAAAATAAGCAAGTAACCAAATATAATTCCAAAAAGTGACCCATAATATGAAAAAGGAAGAGGGGGAGGGGAGGGCTAGGAGGTAAGAGGACAGGAGAAAGGGCATAAAGGGAGAGGTGGCCTCCCTCCCTCTACCCTAGCAGTAGTAAAATTTCTGATGTTTTGTGGTGTGACTAAATAATTATTAACATTGATACAACATTGTTCTATTATTACCTTTTATTTGTTGTTTGATTATTTCTTTTCACTCAGAGTACTATTGCCTTGTTGTTCAATTTGGTTTGTTTTCCATGTCCTGAGAATGAAATTCACAGGGGGTGATTTCTTGTTTTCTGTCTCTATGTCTCTCTCTGTCTGTCTGGCGAGCGCACGCGCCCTATAGCAAAAACCTCTCACAAAAAAAAAAATAAATAAAATAATAAAATAAAATAAAATAAAACAGCATTGTTCTATAAAAAAACATTGCAGTCTCATTTATATTTTTATCCTTCTCAAAGTTTAATTATTTAGTATTAAAGTAATATGTGTAAATAATTTCAGACTCAAAAAAACTAAAAGACTTACAGTTCTATCCTGAATATTCTGTTTTCATTCTTAATTTCTTCTCCCCAGAAGACATCGCTTTCAGCTCTTTCAGTTCGCTGTTTCTGTGGGTATTATTTGAAATGATATGCATGCATTACTATTTCTGTATTTCTGTTTTGCTACCTACTGGACATTACCTATGCCCTTTCCTTCCTGTGGTAACTGTTGTAGAGACTGGGGATATAGTGGTGGGCCAGACAAAGACTCCATACTTGCAAACTTACAATCTGGTGTGAAATAGTAAAAAATAAGCAAGTAACCAAATATAATTCCAAAAAGTGACCCATAATATGAAAAAGGAAGAGGGGGAGGGGAGGGCTAGGAGGTAAGAGGACAGGAGAAAGGGCATAAAGGGAGAGGTGGCCTCCCTCCCTCTACCCTAGCAGTAGTAAAATTTCTGATGTTTTGTGGTGTGACTAAATAATTATTAACATTGATACAACATTGTTCTATTATTACCTTTTATTTGTTGTTTGATTATTTCTTTTCACTCAGAGTACTATTGCCTTGTTGTTCAATTTGGTTTGTTTTCCATGTCCTGAGAATGAAATTCATCCCTAAACATTCTGCTAGAGCTATAAAACTTTTCTCAAAATGGTCAAACATAATAGCCAACTCTTTGCTTTTTTTTCTTCTTCCTCCTCTTCTTTTTCTCTCATCATTCCTTCCAGAAACTTTTATCCTTTAATTTCAGTCCTTTCCCAGTAGCTCCCCAGCCTATAGCACAGCCGTCATCCAGGCCTCTCTCATCTTCCTAGGATTTTCCTCTGCCCTCTGGGTGGATCTCCTTTCCTGGCTACCCCTAGTCTTTGACAATTTAGTCCTCTCATAGCTGCTGCTGCTTCTTCTTCTTCTTCTTCTTCTTCTTCTTCTTCTTCTTCTTCTTTTTTTAAGAGAGAGATTTTTGCTATAGGGTGCATGAGCTCGCCAGACACACACACACACACACACACACACACACACACACACACAGAGAGAGAGACAGAAAGCAAGAAATCCCCCCCTCCACAGGGGAATGGCCACACCCCAATCCCTTCTTCTCCATTCTCCTCTCAGGATTTTGGGTACACATGCACACACACATGCCGAGTGTGACTTTAAGCCTCCTGGTCCAGGACTCAAATTATGATCAACTACGTGGGAATCCAGCAATATAACCATTATGCCATCTGCTAGTACCCCTTTCATAGCTTCTTGAGAAAGGGTTCATAGGAAGTAAATTTTTGCAACCTCAAGAGATTGGAAATGATTACATTCTACTCTCGCCCTTGATGGGTAGCCTGGGCCTAGGAATCTAGAACGCAAATTGTTTTCCCAAGAAATGTGGAGGTATTGCTTCATTCCTTCTGGTTTTCAGTTGAGAATACTGATGCCGTTCTTGTTTCCAATTGTTGGTATGTGACCTATTTTTTCCACGGGAAGACTTGGGGTTCTAAAATTTCAGAATAATTTAGCTTTTACAGTCTTTTATGGAGAGCCAGGAATGTGTAATCATTTCTATTTTATGGAGACTCAAGAATGCATAATAACTAAGATCACAGATTCTAGAGCCAGACATTTGGCTTCACTACTTAACTAGCTCTATAACCTCAGATCTGTTACTTGTTGCCTCTGTCCCTCCATTGGCTGTCCAATGAAGATTATATTGCACCTATGTCATATAATTAGAGATGGTAGGACACAAATACTAAAAATTGTTTAGAATAGCATCTGGTGGGGCCAGCAGTTGGTGTAATGGCTATGTCACTGGACTCCCATGTAGTCAATCATTGTTCAAGTCCTGGACCTGGTGGCTTAAACTCACTCTGGGCACCTGTGCACGCGTGCCCAAGATCCTGAGAGGAGAATGGAGGAGAAGAGATTGTGGCATGACCATTCCCCATGAAGGGTGATTTCTCACTTTCTGGCTCTCTGTCTCTCCCTGTCTTTCTGGCAAGTGCACGTACCCTATAGCAAAAACCTCTCAAAAAAAAAAAAGAATAGTGTCTGGCACATGACAAATCCTCTGTAAACATTGGTTATTAGTTTGATTATTTATTTTGCTGGATATTGAATAGATTCTTTCAATTTGAGAACTCATATGTTTATACCTGGGAAATCTGCTTGTGTTAGTTCTTCACAAATTTTCCCCTTTTTGGATGCATTATCTCTGGAATTCTCATTATAAGTCGAAATTCCTCAATGTTATGTTCTAGTTCATCTGCTATATTTTAAATATCCTAAAGCTTTGCTTTCTCCCTCTCTCTTTTTCTAATGGAAGAGAGAAAGCACATAGCAAGGAAGGAAGAAGGGAGATAGAGAGAAAGAAAAAATGAGAAAGTACTCTCCCTGCAACTGGATCTGGTCATGCTGCAGTGCTTTTTTCTCCAATTCTTCATCCTGTCAGGATCCTAGGGTCACATACTTCTGGGGGTGAAGCCACTTGGTTAGAATTAGAACCCAGCTGGTGATGTGCAATTTGGCTTTCTCTGCACGGGGCCTAACCTCTGTGCCATGGGACCAGCCTAACCTCTGTACCATGGGGCCAGCCCAAAATGTATTTTTGAAAGGGTCTCATCATGTCTCAATCCTCCTACCCCCATCTCCAGATAGCTTGAACCACAGGTGTGTACCACCATGCCTGACCTGCCTAGGGGACTGGGAACTGAACCCAGGTTTCCCACGTGGCCTCAGCTAGCATGCTGCAGTGCCCTTTCACTTGTGCCACTGCAGTTGGGCCCTGTTTACTTTGTGAATGTGTTTGTATGTGTGTGTATATATATATACATATAAGCACACCCACTTAAATATATTTTTGTCTATGCACACACACACACAGCCTTTTACAAATGGGTGCAATATTTTTGTTTTGTTTCTGAAGATATTTGTATAAAACAAGGCTCATTGTATTTTAATTTCCTCTGGGGTTTGCTCTCTATTATTTTACAGGCTTTTTACTGGTGGTTTTTTATCTGGTGATTCTTGGCAGTTCATTTATATTTGAGACTTTTAAACTATAGGATTTCTCTACTGGTGAGCATTGTAGAGAGATTGGGTTAGGGTAGGGATTCCCTAAAGATCCATCTGGGCTCTTCTAAATGTCAATTTCTATAGATATTTGTGAACTGGTCAGTTATTTCAAGTCTCTTACCTGGGAGTATGTTCTGGCCACTAGTGTTGTGGGAATTGCATTTTTGCAGTGATGCAGGAAAATATTTTCATGTGGACACACACAGTTCCTTTATTTTCAGTATGGTATCCCCTACTTCAAATTCTCTGCTTTGTCTTGGTTAGATCCAGGGCTTGAAGGGCCTAAACCTTATATGATTGTGGGAGATCCTCTTTAAGACCAAAACAAAAAAAAATAAAATTATGAATGAAAAATAAAATACCAGGGATCTTGGAAGGGACTTGTGCCAGCGGGAGCCTGAGGCCTATGTTTCATCCACTTCATGGTAAATCTAACTCTTCATCCTGCCTCTACCAGGGTGCCTCATGCGTGGGGCCTGACTTCATTGGCTGAAGAGGGGTTCTGGGAGGTCTAACTGCTGCTTAGAGTCTTTTCATTAATTCTCTTCTTTTCATAACATTCTACACCCTGGTTTTTCAGGGGGAACCAGTGTTTCCAAATCCTGAAACTTTATGGCCCTTACAGTTCAATCAGCGTGCTTCTGATTGGACTCTCTCTCACTGTAGGCAGTTAGGCTTCGGCTTTCTCTGTGGAGCTCTTATACTCATTCATCCACTTCCTATCTTCAAAAACCTGTGTATGCTTCCTAGCTGCTGTTACTCCTCATCCTGTTCCCTTTGCTCTCACAGTGGGTTTCTTCCTTTTAATTTTTAGTCCTCTGCTGCTATGTAAGTAGGGTTTTAGAAGAGCATAGTACTAAACAATCAGGTTTAATTTGCCATGTTTAATTGGAAGTCTCATTCTATCCTTGGATATAGTCATTAACTCCAACATTTTATTGCCACTTTAATTCATTATAAAACTAAATATTTGTTATAGTACGTATTTAAAAAACAGATCCCTCAATGTTCTCATAGTCTGTTTTTGTTTTTATTTTGTTGTGTATTTTTCTTTGAGTCAATAAATCAATATTTGTTAGCTCAATAATCTGATGTACTCTCATATTAATTAATTTGTGAATATTTTGGGAAAGAAAATATACCAGAAAGTGTCTACAACTTTTTAAAGACCAAATTAGAAAATAATGCATGTAAATAAAGGAGTTTGTAAAAACTATGTTTCATATGCTTTATGGAAAAAAAAAACTGTCTAGTTTATTCTTCCAGGTGGTGTTTGACAAATGTTTGTTAAGTAAATAAAAATGTTGCACTGGCTCCATGACCCAGCAGTAATGTGCTGCTCTAGAGAAGCTGGATCCCACATGGCAAATGAAGTCTGAATCCCTGGCTTGGTTAGCCTGCAACACCCAGGTACTCATGGATCAGACAGCCTCGAGGACTACAGGAAGGGGATCAGGTGTGATCAAACTCTGTGGAGGGTATCCATCTCTTTCTCTTTCTCACTCTCATGTGCATGCACTCTCTAACATGAATAAAGAAAAAAATTTAATAAATAAACGTGCCCAGAAATGCAGACAGTCCTGGACACATGATGACTCAACTTATGATTTTTTGACTTTGCAATGGTGCAGAAACAATACACATTTGTACTTTGATTCTGATCTTTTCCCAGACTAGAGATACATAGCAAGATACTCTCCTGTGATGTTGGGCAGTGGCAGCGAGCCATTTTGTCTTTCGCTTTCAGGACAATATTTAACACATTACATGAGATATTAGACATTTCATTATAAAGTATGCACTGTGGTCGATGATTTTTCCCAACTCTTGGCTAACATAAGTTTGGAGCACGTTTGAGATAGGTGAGGCTAAGCTATGAGGCATTAACAGCATTTTCAGTTTACTCCATTTTCCATTTACAACAGGCTTATTGGGATGTAACCTGATATAGGGATATCTGTAGTCCTTTTTCATCTATTCAGCTAACTTCACTTCTATTAAAGCATCTCCATTCAGAAACTCCTGCCAAATGAGATATAAAAGTATAGAAATGTTTCCCAAACTATGCTTCTTGGAACCCTAGATCTATAAGATTAATTCAATAAGTAAAATGTAAGAAAGATGCCCAGACACAGTAGCACATGCTAGATACTGTCTCTACCAGGCTGAGGGACAGATTCAATTCTCCACTCACCCTAAATATGCCTAGAATGGTGGAGCACACCTGAGATCCCAGCTACTCAGGAGGCTGAGCAGGAGGATCAGCAAGATCCTCTCGAAAGCGCCACACCTACACCTACCCCCCAACACACTCACATAAAAATGTAAGGGAGCTATTGTAAGTGGGTTTGTAAACTCTAAGTTAAATAAATTAAATAATTTATTTGAACATCAAGACTTCTTAGAGCCTGAACTATAATAATATTGTGAATCTCCCTCTCTCTTTTTTTTTAATTTGCCAGGGGCACATGTACTTACTGGAAAGAGAGAGAGAGAGAGAGGAAATGAGAAGGCACCCCCCACCCGCTGGTGCCGGGGGGATGACCATACTGCAATCTCTTCTCTATTCTCTTGGGATTTGGGACAGGCACCCAGTTAGTTTCTCAAGTCACTCCAACAGTGCAGTCAGCCATGTAGGATCCAGTCACCTTAACCAGCACACCACACAGCTGGTCCTCATTGTGAATCTTTAAGAAAAAAATAGTCCTTCGTATTTTCCAAATTTATTTTACCACCAGTCCTATTTATTTTTTTTAAAAATTATTTTGTTTAACTTTATTTATTTGCTTGTTTGTGTATTTAATTTGACCAGGGAAGGACAGAGTTAGAGAGAGAGAGAGGGAGGGAAAGTGAGAAAATAAGCTGCCAGACCCAGGACTTGAGCCGCAGTTGGCCATGTAGGAGTCCAGCGCCCTGAACCACTAGGCCACCTGCCAGCCCCACTGCCAGTCCTATTTAAAAAGCATGCTATTAATTCCTTACCAAGTGAATTATATCAAAATGCAGTTTAAAATTTTTTTTTGTCAACAGTTTTCTAATTCTGTACATGAGAAAGACCTAATTTTTATACAGAAGAGTACTTTTTCTTATCCTATTACCAACTTTAACCTAAATACCAATTTTTCATGATTATTTTTTCTTTTCTTTCTTTCTTTCTTTCTTTCTTTCTTTTTTTGGGGGGGAGCTTTTTGCTATAGGGCACATGCGCTCGCCAG